GCGTCCGAAGAACTGTCCGAAAGGGTTCCGTCCTCCGAAAAACTCTGCAAACATTGCATGAGGATCGCCTTGGAAAGTGTAGGAGAAATTACCGCCACCACCTCCACCGCCGGGGATGCCTCCCTTCAGTCCTGCATATGGCAAACAAAGAGGACACAGATTACAGAATCGCATGGTGTTGTAAAAAGATCACAGACAACTCATAAATACTGCACCAAGGGTCCAAAATTTACTTTTTTGCCAATACTGCCAATGACAGGTGAATTGAGAAGCTTTACTATGCATTAAAACTACTACACCTCCCAGAAGAGCTGGGAATTTGAATTCCTCCCAACTGGAATTCACCACAGGTTCCTTTTTATGGAAATTATTGTCTTTAATAGTCAATATCGTTTAGAATATACTTTATATTTTTTTAAAAAACAAGTCTAGGATTGTTTCAAAATGTCTGCAATGGGACAACCCTAGGGCGAACTGCCACTAAACTGCTGACAGCACACAAACGCTCCGCCTCTTTCTACCACGTGACCATCAGAATCTTCCAGCAAACACGCGGCGTTCCACAAAGCCCCACTCAGGTAGCCAATCAGAACGCAGCATCACAAATCGGATCTATTTAACGTAATCAAAACATTACAGTAGTTTCACCAGATTGTTTTCTCTCGATCTAGAATATACTAGTTATCTACATACTGCGTTGTCAATATCGCGCACGTTATGCAAAATCACATACAGATTAAACAACCGATCCACTATATGATTTAATGCGAATTACTAAAAGTGTGTCTTCATTTCTCCCCATCTGTATCTGCGTCATCAGGCATGGCAACTGTTAAGAGTTAGAAGCACAGGCGACACACAAGCTTGCATCATTTTATTCACCTTCTTCGCCAAATTTGTCATAAATGTCTTTCTTCTTCGGGTCACTCAGCACGTCGTAAGCCTCCGCGATCTCCTTGAACTTGTCCTCGGCGCCGGGAGACTTGTTTTTGTCCGGATGGTACTTGAGCGCTTGTTTGCGATACGCTTTCTTGATCTCATCGTCGGATGCGCCTTTCTGAATCCCCAAAACACTGTAATAGTCCTTTCCCATCTTCACCATCGAGCTTTTATTTTTAAGTCGATATCCTCCGAACGTCAAACAGCGGGTTCAGGCAAGTCCTACTTAAGCTGAGTTCAGTTCACAGCAATTTAAAACAAAGCTTTGCTTAGTATATCTGAGAGTAATGCTGTCCCATCCACCTGTGGGTTATTATGCCCCCGCCTCGCTCTGCTGCCTCGCTATTTGAAACCGCGAGGAAAGTTCGAGAAATTTCTCAAAGTCTCTGGTTGTTTCTATCCGCACCCGAACCACGTGGATGTGCTGCTCCACCCATAGACCTGCTACTGGACACCGATGAAAGCGAAACTAAATGGTTTCTTACAAGAAACGGTGAAACCATGGACTGTATAAAAACACGGACGTAGTGTCCGTGACGTAACCCGACGACTTCCGACGAGCGGTTTTGAAGCCTAAAGTAGGCGGAGCCAGCCGTCGCCAACTTGCAGCGCGTCACCGCGCGTCACTCCCGGATAATCGAAAATGGGCAAAGAGGCGGGAGCTGGTTGCTGAAGCCACGCCCACCTAGCTCGACGGAGGTGACAGCAGCGGCAATCCACCTGTCACTCAAGTGGCCACGCCCTTAATTATGCAGAAATTTAAGGCTTAATATAATTTAAACGGATGAGTTATAAAAAAATTCACCCCCCTCACAGTTGTCATGAAGGGCAAAATTAGCTATATAGACCAAAATCATTTTTTGAACCAGGCTGTAAAACGTTTTTTTTTCTGCTGTAAAGTTGGGCATTTTAACATGGGGAGTCTATGGGATTGACTCCCTTTTGCAGACAGCCTCTAGCGGCCAGTTGATGAATTACAGTTTAAGTCACTTCCGTGTTGGCTTCACTAGAGAGAGGGGGAGGTTGCCGCTTGGGTGAAACACACCAATATAAACATATATGCGTGACGGCATAACGGGCGCTTGCCATTTTAATAAGTCGTATATTTGCATATTTACAGTTCTGACCGACTGACCTACTCTATCAGATGGTTGAGTGCGTACTTTTCTGTCCATGGACGGTATTTATTTATTTATTTTAAGATATGTTAAAATGTACTATGCCAAGTTAATTTGTTGAATAATCATTATTTAATAATTTAACTTAATTTTAAGTTGCTGAGTTATATAAAATGCATTTATTGGAATGACTCTGTTTAGTCTCGTCCCTTAGAGCAATCGAGTTTTTCAGCCGCATGTGTTCGCCTCACATCAGCACTAGGCGGCGCTCATAATGATTGTTTGAAGCTTATTGTGTCTAGTCGGACTCCGATTGGTTACTACAGGTCAAAAAAGGCGTACATGATGCGTTTCACCCAATGACAAGATGGAGTGCAGGACTCGATTTGTTGGCATAAGCTCACCACTCTCTGCGCATTGGATGTGCGGCATCTTCCGTTCTTTCTGATTGGATTTAGTGCTCGTCTCTCACCTGGCTAGGAAAAGCTATTCAAACTGCAAAAATGAAGCATTACGAGGTAAGATTATTATTACTGATTTTCATATCTGGTCAAATTGTGCGAGCGTTTAGAGACGCTTTTTCCTGATGCTTCTGAGATCGATAAATGATCGTGCCGTATGAAAACGAATGAACTTTACGCGTTATAATAATGACAGCACTGGGACTGCAGATTAGAGAGCATGCTGGAGTGACAATCACTTCGGCCTAACCGCAAGGAGTTGCTCGGTATGTAGATGAATGAATCAGACAAGAACACGCGTAACGTTACTGGACCTGGAGCAGGAACTGCAGTGGTTTGCAGCCAGTGGTCGCCTCGACCCAGAGAGAGTCATAGCGCATCTCCGCAGACTCCCAGACAACCCCTGCCCCACTTTACACAACAGTATGTGCAATAGGAACATACTGTGCAACATAAGAGGTGATTGCTGCTCTTAAACATGTCTTCAGATGCGTCTAAAATAGCAATGGCCTTTCAGAAACGAGATGTATTTTGAGTGGGAACCTCGCACTTGACTGTAGTACATTTAGTCATTAATGAAGTTATGTTTTCTGACCAAAAACAAAGGGATCTGCTGCAATATGTCGGTGGGTAGTGACTAAATGCGTTCACGGGGGACTTTGATTTTAGAGAATTAAGTCACAGCTTTGCTCTCCATAAACCCGGATGCAGGTGCTTGTTTCTCTTCATTTAGAATCAGTGCACATCGAATCTGGCCAGAGAATATACCTCATTTTTAATGACACTTTACATGCTGATGTAACTTTTGCTTACTGAACATGTGGGACAGGTTCGGTCAAAGTCGTTTGATAAAATTGACATAAGCTATATTTATGATGTCCACAAGAGGGCGCCAAGCAGTTTTAAAGGGGTCATATGATGCGATTTCAAGTTTTTCTTTCTCTTTGGAGTGTTACAAGCTGTTCGTGAATAGATAAGATCCCTGAAGTTGCAAAGACTAAAGTCTCAAAACCAAAGAGATATTCTTTATCAAAGTTAAGACTCTGCCACGCCCCCCTAAAACGGCTCGTTCTAACACGCCCCCACATATCTAGGTCACTATGTGGGAATATTTGCATAATGCACCCAAATGTGCACGCAAAGAAAGAAGGCGTGGTTTCAGTAACCGCAGTTAGTGTTGAAGCAGCCATGTCAGGGAGACGCTGTGTGTTTCTAGGCGAAAGCAAAAGCACTTTATTTGGCCTTCCGAAAGTAGATGCATTTAGGAATCTTTAAAGCTCTCTCGGGGACGTACACCGCATGTAGGTAACCCTGATAGCACACGTACATCACCGAGATGTCTATTTGACGTCTGCATTTACATTTGCAAGATGTAGGCTATTTTTTAGTGTGTTTGCTGCAATACGTCTATTGGATGTTCCTGTCAGATGTGAAGTAGATGTTTAGAAGATGTCTTTAAGATGTTTATGATTTAGAATGTCAATAACTGTGTTATTGTGACTTTACAAATAACTTGACAATAACTGTGGAACACACAACACTATTTATACACCAATACACTTATTTATCTAACACGCATACTTAGTCTACACTTCAAATTTGCACATAATATACCTGTACATACAAAAACTGTCTATTGTAATATACCTGCACATACAATTCCTTATTTACTTGTTCTTTTTTTAATTTTTATCTGTGTTTTTATTCTGTCGCTGTCATTCTGTTGCACTGCGGAAGCTTCTGTCATGAAAACAAATTCCTCGTATGTGAAAACATACCTGGCAATAAAGCTCATTCTGATTCTGATTGTGTATAAAACTGACCTCTTGAAGAGGTCTATCAGATGTTTGTACACCGCAGATGCTTCAAGCGATCTTTGACAGACATCTTGCAGACGTGCGTGTGCTATCTGGGAAATAAGTAATACATTATGAAATAAACTAAGAAGGACACAAAACTGACATAATTACACATAGTATCAAAAATATCTACATTCATGTTAGTTATGTCCATAAAGCGCAGGAAAGGCACTCACGTGCGCTTCTTCAGACGGAGTTGATCGTCCTGCGTCTCTACTTTTAAACTTTAAAATAATGTTGGCAGTTCTTTCAGTTGGAGTTTCTTTCAGTGGCAGTGGGTATTTCCTCCAGTGTCATCTGCTCATGCCTTTCTAAGTTATTAATAATCTCTCTCTCTCTCCCTTCCCCCTAAAATGTGCGGCTCCGAACAGTGCGCGCTGCCGACGAAAATGACGGTTTAATAGAATTGTCATTGAAAATAATGTGAATGGAAGATTTGGTTAATTGTTATGAAAATAATGCAAAAAAAAAGCAAAAGTTATTTTTTAACTTAATTTCTTATAATTTCTTTTTCTTTTCATTTTGGGGGTTGAAATATGACCTGGGCATATTTTTGTGAGAATCATTTTTACCTTATGACTTTACTGTTAGATGTACCCCAGCACAAGTGTGCACACCTAAAACAGTCTGAACTCAAGTGACTCTGTATGTGATGTTGTTGGGTTTTCTGTAAATATTGGTTCTAGATGACTGGCCTCTGTATGTCCCTGTGTGTGCATGTGTGCATCCATAAAACAAGTTATAATTAGCACATATTGGGATGACTGGGGATGGGTCACGTTTCCTCGAGGTTCGGAAGAGAAGAGAATAAAGTATTTATGAGTGAGATAATGAGATACAAGTCTTGTTGATTTGTTCATGCATGTGCTTTTAGGGGGTTGGTTTGGGGGCCAGATGTAAAGATGAACGAGAGGGTGACAAAACAGAGAAATGGGAGGGTCGAGTTAAAGAGGGAGAGAGGGGTGGGGGCACAGACAGAGAGATTTATTTCCACAGCTGACAGTGAAGCTCCCGTCCCACACTCATTTTTGGAGGTGAAAGAGGGACTAAGAGAGGAACGAAGTTTAAAAAGTCAGAGAAAGTGGATAAATAGACAATATGGATACCTTGGCTTTAGAGGCCACGCAGCCCAAAAAGGCTCAGAACGGAGCACCAGTGCCCGGAACCTCCACCCCTGCCAAACGCAAACCGGCTAAAAAGACTAAGAAAGCTGTGGTCTTTTTCGAGGTGGAGATTCTGGATGCCAAGACGAAGGACAAGCTCTGCTTCCTGGACAAGGTAGGAAACATTTTTACCTTCATTTTCACTCTATGCATTCATTACACAAGCACCTTAAACTGTTTTACACAGCATTTTCTCATGGATATTTATGCACATGTACATTTTACAAAAAATCTACGTGGGATGTTTGTGCTTTGACAAGTTTATTTGTGATGCCGCCACAGTGTTATTTTAGTATCATTAATATACTATTGCAATTTTTATTATTTATTTAAATTAGTGTTTCTGTTTTTATTTTATTTTTAGTTAAAGTTTTAGTAGTTTAGATGCGTTTATTTTAATGCATATCGTTTTTATTAATTCGTTTTTTTTTAGTCCTTTGACTTAAACCAAATGAAAATTAGAAATGTGGTCTTGGCATCCAAGTGAAATAAATACATTTTTTATAAAATGCGATGTCAGTTAATGTTTATTTTAAGAAACTATGGTTTTAGTTTTAACAATGTGCTGCAGAGCAGAAACCTAAATTGCAATTACAAATGTGTGAATAACTAATAATAATAATATAATAACTATAATAGTAATATGATCATAAAGAATTAAGAACCTATTAAGAATTTCAACCTAAAATTAATGTTAGTTATAAACTACCCATTTATAGAACTGCCTTGTAACCATTAGTTTCAATCAATTCTCTCTTTAATTACTCTTCCTCTTATTTTCATATGACTGCACATGCTTTTGCCACTGTACAAATCTCATCCCTAGAGTGGTGCTATCTATAGAAACTGTCCTGGCCGTGCGCTCTGGGCTCAGGGTTGTGGTGTACTCTTGCACGGAGGCTCGAGGTCCTTCTGTAGTCGTCCCTGTAAGGAGGTGCCTGTAATGAGGCCTCTAGAATGTCAGGAGCCACGCTGCGGGATTATCGAGGATTGCACACGGATGTCCTCGGATTAATTGCCGCTTCGCCTGTGATGCCACTGGCTACTGGTGTTGTGATGTCACAGAGCAATGGAAGCCTGAGATGATGACATCATACGCAGAGAGAAGCCCCAAACCACTGAAGAGTTAAAGGGATAGTTCACCCAAAAATGATCTTATGTTGAACATAAAAGAAGATATTTTGAAGATTGCTGGTAATCAAACAGTTGGTGGTTGCCATTGACTTCCATAGTAGGAAAACAAAATACTATGGAAGTCAATGGCAACCACCAACTGTTTGATTACCAGCAATCTTCAAAATATCTTCTTTTGTGTTCAACATAAGAAAGCAACTCATACAGGTTTGGAACGACATGAGGGGGAGTAAATGATGACGGAATTTTCATTTTTGGGTGAACTATCCCTTTAAAGGTTTTTGGAGGGAAAGAAATGATCAGCCCAGGCAGATGCTTTAATATGTGCCAAAAATGCCATTGTGTCTGTTCAAGGTTCTTCAAAGTGTATTGTATTCAAAACAAGTGATTTTATGGTACACTGTAAAAAATAATTTTTCGAAGTAGTAAATAAAACAATGGTTATTGGAGTGCTTTCACAAGAAAATACTATTTCAGTTTTTCTGCTTCAAAATATCTCGGTGTTAATTGCTGTTTCTCTGTAGCTGTGAAATTTACTAGCTGTTGTGTAGTGATTTTTGTAGTGATTGAAGTAAAAAGTCATATTTTATTTTTTATTTAGATTTTTTTTTATAAATGCATATTTGAGCATATTCATTGCATCAGAGCTGAGGTTTAGTGTGTGCATTCATTAGCTTTTTGAATTATTAAAAAATAATTGTAAATGATTTTTTTAAGGAAGCCGATGTCTAAGATCTCCCGGCTGTTTGTTAAACTCAAAGCGGGACCTGTAGGTTTTTTTTTGTTCTGAGATCTGGTCAGTTGGCTGTGTTTGTGGATTTGTTTGTTTGGTGTTTTGTGTCTCTCCGAACAGCTGCTGCACTAAAGCCACATCGCCGGGGGATTGTGGCTAAATTTACCCCTCATTTCACACACACACACACACACACACACACACACACACACTCTCTAAACTGGTGTTTGTGTGTTTGTTTGATTGGCAGGTTGAGCCCAATGCCACCATCGGGGAAATCAAGTCCATGTTCCACAAGAGTCGTGAGTATAAATGAGTCTCTGATCTAAACTCAGCTAATGAAGCCGTTCTATTTGATATGTTTAACCTTTTTCAAGAGCCTAATTTATCAAAATGTTGTATTATTCATTTAACAATTGATAGTCACTGTGTCTAATTTGTAATGGTACACAAATAGGTTTCTAAGTCCTGAGATGTACACTACCATTCAAAAGGTACATCAAATAAATCCTTTTCTTTTCAACTTTCTGTTAATCAAAGATCCTAATCCTAAATATGAAGCAGCACAACTGTTTATAATAGAAATGTTTCTAAAGAAGCAAATCATCATATTAGACTGATTTCTGAAGATCATGTGACACTGAAGACTGGATTAATGATGCTGAAAATACAGCTTTGATCACAGCAATAAATTATATTTTCTAGTATATTCACACAGAAAGCATTAACATTATTTTAAATTGTAATAATATTTCACAATATTACTGTTTTTACGGTATTTTTTGATAAAATAAATGCAGCCTTGGTGAGCAGGAGACGTTTTTCAAAAACATTAAAAATATCTTACCAGCCCCAAACATTTGAACGGAAGTGTATGGTTAAAATGTGCGCATGTGTATTTACAGTACTGTGATTGTTTTCTTGTATTTCACGTGTTTGTTTCAGACCCTCAGTGGTATCCGGCCCGACAATCCATTCGTTTGGATCCCAGTACGTATTGAACTTTTGTTTAATATTTCGTTTAATATTATCTTTGACAGCATAATAAGAGATTCATGCTGTCAAAAGTTGCAGCTGTTTCTTTAAGATTATGTACGTTGTCAGTGCTGTAGGTCTCTGCTTTCTAAGATTAGCAGCAAAATCAAAACATTATGGTTCTTGTGGTCAAGTTATTATAAATCTAGTGGAAGGGGTTTAATGTGATGAGATTTCTATGGTACAACATTGCACAGTAGACAACGGTTTCTGTTAGTTGGCATTTGCTGATGTATTATGGGCTTGTTTTGCAGAGGGAAAATCTTTGAAGGACGAGGATGTGCTGCAGCACCTGCCTGTGGGAACAACAGCGACCTTCTACTTCAGAGACCTGGGAGCACAGATCAGCTGGGTCACGGTGAGAGACCACACGCATGCACGCAACATGCAAAAAAATAAGAAATCAGGAAGGGGGCCAACACTTTTTCACACCACTGTACATGCGCACACACACACGCACGCACGCACGCACACACACATACATACATACATACATACATACGCACACGCACACACACACACACGC